AAATTTAAAAATTATCTATTTACTAACTTAAAAATCAAAACTTATATCAGTTTTACGAGTCTGCTACAGATCTATGAAGAGAGAAATTGTAAGAGCAAATAAACCTAGCTGACGACATCTTAACCAGCCCCATTGTTAAGCATTACCTTCTGAAGATATTTTCATAGCTATAGATAGAGCTCATCGCAACATTTCTCAATGTTGAAATGGCAATCCATTCAACTACCTTTAACTTAAGCGGATCCTCTCACATAGGTCTTTGGATGTCCTATGGATCTTTTCCGACCTGCAACTGATAGTATTTCACATCATGTCCCCTTGAATACACCCAACGCATATTTTGTAAGCTTACGAGTTCTGCGATAATTGTCTACTAAATATGCACATTTATTTTATTTTATTTAAAAATGATCAATTTTGAAGAGAATTGGCGAAAACGAAGACATAGTTTGTTTACTTAATTTGTTATATGGCTTTTTGATAAAGAGAAACATAAAAAATCTTCTTACATTTTTGATTCACTTTATTGGGCATAATAAGGGTAACATCTTTGTGTTTTAAGAATCTATACATATAATAATGTTGTAACAGGCCGATGTCTGTACATTATAGGTATTAATGAAAAATTAATATGGGGTGTCTTAATTATAGCAACAGAAGCCAAATCAACAAATTTTAGAATCACTCGAAAACCAATGCATGGCATAGAATGCAGTTTTCACCGATGTATTGCTTAAGGTCAAACTTAAAATATAAAAAAATAAGAGTTGCCATCTGTTTTAAAATCGCAGCCTAGGTAAGTTCATAAGATAAACTAAATATTGCAATATGGCTGTCAAGCGAAAAAGGTTTAAGAAGGCTTACAGCCGAAAAAATTTTTGTGGAAGGTTGCCACCTGCATAAAAATTTTGATTAAATCACATTAATAAGATAAATTGTATTGTAATATGGATATCGAACGAAAAAGATTTAGAAAACTTTACTGCCGCAAATAATTTTGAAGGGGTTGCCATCTGTTTGAAAAATGTTATTCATTTAAATTGATAGAATAAATGTAATATTACAATACTGGTGCTAAACTAAAGAGCCTTAAGAGAGTTTACTGTCGAAAATGTATTTGGCCACCTCATCAAACGCAGCCCTTGTTCACCGCGACACTATCCTTCTTTGCTTATTTTTCTAAACTTTTTTTTTTCATCTACATACGTTGGAGTCTTTCAGTTTCTGGCCGACGATGGCAATATCAACTGCATGCGCCAGCAGCATCATCTCAGGTTATTACTACAATGATAAAAGTTGCAAAGCAATTATAAAAAAAACTGTAAAATGGTCTTCCGGAACGTTTTTTTTTTTCAATTTATCCAAATTAAGGAGATAATAAATAGTACCAAATTTTTATGATTTTGCTTTTTGAAATTTAAAGGAATGGAATTCTTTTAGTTTATTTATTATTTTATTTGGCGACTTTTTAGTAAAAAAAAAATTAATTTTTTTGTCTGGTTGACAAAAAGCCACATAACAAACCAACTACACAAAGTGTCATCTTCTCTTTAAAGAATTTTCTTTAGAATTGTTCATTCTTATAAAAGTACAAACAAAGCAATCAAACAAGTCCAGTATGTATTATCTAAATAATAGCATTGGCAAGTACTATGCTGCGACTAATCACCTAATCACCTTCGCGTTATCGAATGTTACGTTTTTTTGTTACGTTTGATCAGTTGCATGGGTACATGGCGTATGAGTAACATTATTTTTCCTTCTCATATTTCATACAAAATAAATCAATCATTTAACAATCGATTACGGGAAAGTGATAAGCAGCTTACTACTAACCACTGCACTTATGTAGATAATTCTTTTCTCTACAAAATGATATTTCTTCCAACTTGATACGATGACCAAGAAATAAACCGTCATTGAAATAAGCAGCGATGCGCTAGTCGCCCATAGTTTTAAATTAATTTAAAATATTTCCTGTTAAATTGAGTGGACATATCAATATTTTAATCGGCATAACTTTCTAAGCCAGGCGATGTTTTTAAACCGTAAGGGCGCTATTACGCGGACGACCATATTGTCAAAATCCAAAAAATCGAAAACTCGAGAAAAACATCTTTGAAATTTTGAATTTACATAGTCAAAATGAATACATATTTTTTTCTAGTGGGCTACTGGTAATAATCGGTTGCAGATAATGTGCTATATCTCTTTGTTCAACAGGATGTTATGTAGATGGTCAAATGACCAGCGTAATTAGCAAAAAGTATGTGTACTTATTTTACTACTTTGTACCATTATGCTACTAAAAGGAGAAAATAGTTCCAAAAATACTCCATTTCGCTACTAAAAGGAACAAATAGAAAATTATACTCAAAGCCCATCTTTTTATGATCAGTGATTCGGTCTCAGCGGGCTGGTCAAACTTTAACCGGTTGGCCATGCGGTTCAGTTCTCTGGCTCACTCTCCCTTTTTCATTTTGCAGTCAACAATTGGTGGCCAGGGATCATATGACCGCCTGTGTAACAGCACCTAAGAGATTTATTTCGACCTCAAGTAGCAGATTAAGTGTTCTACACAAATATTTTAATTAATTCATAAATTAAATAACATAATTAAATTTAAACCTAAAACTTTACTGTAAATTTAAGTTTTGAGCTAATTTTTGCATTTCGTAAAACTTTTTTAAAATAGAAGATAAGACTAATAATTGTAGTGCAATTCAACCCATTTTCAATACCAACCTACCTCTTGCAGATTAGCAGCGCTTAATGCCAAATCTTGTTTCGGAAAAAGTACAAACCGAAATGTCGATACTTCATAAATTTAGGCAAGTTTAGTGATTTTGGTTGAAACGTTACATTTTTGCATTCACACGAAATCATTTATCTGAGCATACAAATTATGTGTACTTCTGGGAATAATGCAAGAGGGATTTAATTTTAACTTCATACAAAATAATACACATATGAATTTACTCGTATGTATATGTATGTATATGCGTTCATTGCATAGTTGAAAAAGAAATTGTAAACGCCCGGTATGCCAAAGTTATTACCAGCATGTCAACAAAAAGGCGCAATGGGTGTTAAAGTGATTTTTTTTTTTGCAAATACAAAAAATATTCAAATATATACGGTAATGACGGCAGGCTGTGCAATACTGAATAACAATGCTGTCCAAGCAGTGAAAAAGACAATACGGAAATTCAATTTGTTGGCAGTGATGCCAGATTGTGGGTAATATCCCTATTTGAGGGATATTTTGCAGCAAAAATTATTGAAAGGGAAAAAAGGGATTTTCAATTAACACAATTATCGATGCATAATTAATCAATATTCAAGAATATTCGAAACTCTTACGTAATTAATCGTTCTGCAGATGTGATATGGTGTAAAATTATGTATACGTATTAAAGTCTATAAAGACAATTTGAAGTTTGTCTCCCTTTAAAAAATTCAAGCGCCGACTAAGAAAGAAAATTTAAATGTTAAATATTAAATATGTAGTACATGTATGTATATATTATGTATATAAAATAACGGTTGCTGTTGATTCAAAAAAAGTTAAGTTCTTCAAAGTTAAAGTCACCAAAAATCACATTCGCTTACGCAATGCAAACAATTTGTAACTGTGATAGTTTTAATAATTGCCACTAGGTATTCAACCATAAAAACGCAAAAAAAGTATTTTTACAAACTTGGATTTTAATAAACACTGAAGCTCATTTATAAATGTAGTAGATGTTTTTCAATTCTTTTAGACCTTTAGTGAGTAATTAATCGATCATTGAATTTCAAAAGAATATTATAATGTATATCATTGTATGTATATTAAGGTAACATGAATGTTACTTTTTTAATACTGAAATATATGTTTTCAATTCTTTAAGAATTTTGTGCGATAAATTTTTAAAATGTGGGTAATTTAGGGATTTTTCCTCCATTTTCGTGGGTAATTTAACAGAGAATGTCGGGCATCACTGTTTGTAGGTCGGAAATGAGAAGTGATTATACGTATTTTTCTGAACATCAGCACTTTTACAAAAGCACTGCCCTCAGCTGAGCAAAAATTAAACGAAGAAATACAAAAAAAGCACATAATAAATATTCAAAATTTTATTCAAGTTTAAAAAAAAGCGCTCATGCATATTTTCAATTGTATTATGAGAGCTTGTAAGAATTATCGAGTGCCAGAGATATTTGTTAAATGTGACCACTTCGGTAGAAGTTGCTACGGTTTTTGGTTTTTTACAGCGTAATAGTTGACAAAAAATTTCACCGAGCACAAAACGCAAGTGCTTGCTTGTTCTTACTGAACGCAAAAAATGCGAACCAAGGAAACGCAAACTGTAGATTCACATGAATTCCTACATACGTACATACAAGACAATCACATGCACCAAATGTTTACAATGGTGCACGTCGCCACAACAAATCCACATTTACACTTCCGTCACTGGTTGCTACGTGCTAATGCCACATCTGCTATTTCCGAAAGAGATTCCGCTTCCCGTGCCAGCAGCTGCTCTACGTTTCCGTGCTTAGTGTAAATGTGAAATCTTTGAAATCTCCATCTATTTTTATTTTTCGCAATTGAGTTACTCACACATAGCTACATACTACATACATACATACGTATTCAATATGGATAGAAATCTAAAAATTCACATGTAACAACTCATCGAGCGAATGTGACCGTGTTGGTTCATATGCGTGGCTGTAGGTGTTTCTACGTGTCGTACGTGCCAGGCAGCTGTTAATTTAGTTTATTGCTTTGCATTCAATTGTCATTAGAGTGACAAGCCGTTGTTACACCTGTACTTCCTCGAAATTATTATTTTTGCTTGGAATTCGTAACTGGCTGCTTACAACAATAATACACAAATATAGATACATACATGCATACATAAGTATACTATACATATGCTTACATTTGCATACAAATGTAGATACGTTTATTTATTTAATCTTTTCATATACATTTTTTATACTTTTAGTGCCCCGCACCGAAATCGTTGGTGGTCCAGATCGCTTGGTCAAAGCTGGCAGCACTGTAGTTCTGCGTTGCATTGTTCGTGGCGCACTGGAGCCGCCCACTTTCATAATGTGGTTCCATAGTACGGAGCAAATAAATGCCGATTCACGTCGCTATCGCACACAAGTCGACCGGAGTCTGCCCGAGATCGAAGGCGACGCACACAGTACGGTAAGTGAAGCGGATATTTTTAAAATACGTACATATTAACTTGCTGGTATTTTCTGTCGTATGGAACGGTTGGTGTACCAGGCTCGGCTGGCTGAAAAACAGGAGACTTAGTTAAATTTGAGTAATCCCAAATCACTGACGTTTAAGCTAGTTTTGGGATTAGAGCGAGCGGGTATTGCATAGTACGGATAAAACACTTTTATTATGATATATTTTCTTCTGAAAAATACCCAACAGATATAGCGATTTTGACCATATACCTACGAAACTCTGCATAATCACCAAAATCAAAAGTTCCTGATTGTGCAATAAAATAAGGTCGAATTAAAAAGATGAGCATTTAAGACTTAATTGTTCCTTCGGAAATATTATCAAAAAAGTCAACCTAATTCAAAGTAAAACGTAGATTTTCTAAATCATATCGTCTCGTTTACATATAAATTTTGAATATAACTGTTTGGAGGAAATAATATGATTTTTTCAGTCCCGCAAATCCCACGAATCCGCGGAATTGATGATCTCGATCCCGCAAACTTGTGGGATTGCGATTATTATGCCACATTGGATTCCCTTGTCGTAATTTTAAAACATACACTTTTGAGACAAATTTTAAAATAATATGACCTGTATTCACCCTTACAACAATTTCTGGATGCTAATTCTGAGACCAGTCAACCAGTCAACCAGACTGACTCGTTTCGGACTCTTTTGGTGTCATAAATTCTGAGTTGAACAAAAAACCAAGTTGACGTAGAAGTAAAAATTTATGATAACACAGGCCAATAAAATTAAAAAAAGTATATATATTTGCGACACGGAAAGTGAACCCAGATTCTTATAGAATTTTTTCCGTAGTATCATCACCTAGAATTAGAAATATTAGATTGGCTTCAGTTTTTGAGATATTTTGACTTAAAAGTGGTAAAATGCTCATTTTTGTAATTTTTTTAACATCTATAATGGAATAACGGGATCTGGTAGAATCTTTTGAATAAGATGTAAAAAAAGCTAAACATATGTTGTATGTCGTAAACTTTAAAAGCTAAAATAAATATTTAGAGCACTTGAAACCACAACCACCTATTTTCTAACACTGCGGAAATGCATAATATAACTTAAATGGTACTTTGCGAACCCCCTTAGGAATTTTTTAGGTGTTTAAAGTTTACAACAATACAACACTTACGACACCGTTGTGAATACCCCGATTGTTTTTTTAGCACAAAAGGTTAAAACTTCACTTTTATAATTATAACCTTATGCATCATCTCTTATGGAGAATATGGTCCGACGAATGCATGCCCGTCGACTGGAATTTAGTTGTGCTCTGCCCAATCCAAAAAAAAATATGACCGTGCTATATTACCCAACTATCGTGGGACCAGCCTTATAAGGCTTTAAGGTCTTATCGATCGTATTATGTGAAAGATTGAAATCCACTGTCAAAGAATTGACTGGACCCTATAAGTGTAACTTTAGGCCTGGAAAATCTGCCATTGACCAGGTATTCACCTTACTACAAATCTTTTAAATCTCTGGACACATAAGGAGCTATTTTTCGACATAAATGCCGTTTCGGTATCACGAAAAGGAGTAGCCTATTTCTCCGAGCAATTCGATGCCAAACAAGATTTCAGAAAGGTCGCCTCTTGGTCGTGTGATTTCTTTAATCTGATGATGGAGAAGATAATCAGAACTGAGGCGCTCAGGTATAATTTATTAAAAGAGCGTACAATTGCTTGCGTAATGCCAGCCTTCAAATCCAACGGAGAATACGCTTGCTAACAAGTGCTACTTTGGACTGAGTAGACAATTGAGCAGTAAGGTTCTCTCTCGACAGCATCCGATAAGGCGGCTCTGGAGAAAGGTCTTGCAAAAGATTAACGGACTTTTACGCGTTGGCGAATATCGAATGCATGAGCTTTACAACAACATGTCATAGTGCAGTGAATTCAAATAGAACTGCACCTCCAGCTTGGCCATGTCATTCGAATGGATTCAATCGCTTCTCCATTCGCTGGTGGTAGCAGAGGAACAGGGCGACCTTCTCTGCAATGGCAAGACCAAGTGGAGAAGAACTTGGCATCTATTAGCATTTCGAACTGGCTAACAGTTGGCATAGAAGAGAAACGATTTGCGCGCATTACTTATTAAATTAGGTCGAAATCTCTTAGTCGGATACAACGCCAAACAAGGATATAAGAGCTTATAAGAACATACCATTATTTATGTAAACTTATTTTGAAGATAGCTTCCATGTATGCACTTCCTTTTTCCCTGTGATAGTAAAATTTTCGTTGAGCCCCAACAGGAAATGCAAATCAAAATTACTCGAATTTGTTCAGCAGAGCCAGAAGCTTTGAAGTGAATAATGTTCAATTGAGCGCTCTTATATTTTGAAAGTGTTAAAGTCGGTAGAGCAATGATGTCTCAACGACAAAGTCAAAAGTTGACAGGACTGCGTTGCAGAGCAGAGTTGAAAGAGTAGTATTCACTCCACTCGCATCACAATAGTGAGGGTACCTTCTCATTTATCTTCACGCAAATGGCGAAATCGTCAAATGTTATTATATTTGTGACAAATGTGTCTGGAGGGTCCAACAGATCGTCCAATTTTCGAAATGAGAAGCACAAGAAACTTGAATAATCTCCTAATCTCGTTAAAATCTATTTCCCACAAAGCCACATATAAATTTATTGCTCATCATTTATGCATGAATTTGTACATATTTATGTACATACATACAAGCACCTACTTCAATAAATTACTGTCGTTTATAGCCGCATTGGTTTGTTTGAACTTTGGCTTTATGAAAATGCAAGTCACCTGTTCCTTTAGCTCGCATCAACAGCATTTAATCTGTATTTATTATTAACAAGAGTAACACCGCCAACATTGACAGCCAATTAGGGAATATTGAATAACTGCAAAGGGAGAAAATTCAATAAACTTAAGCTAAATACAAGCGCAAACACAATTACTTACATATATAAATACTCTGTATTCTTTATTCGTGTTTTTGTTTGTTAAACATTGCAGTTGCAGACTTTGCAAATATGGCTGGATACCGATTGTGATACACATGCGACACAGGATAAACAACGGTTAAACATGAGCAAGGCTTTTGATTTGACACCACTCCATGAATGTGTGAAGTCAGAGTTGCCAAAACTCTCACAAAAATAATTTAAATTTTCGCATTATTGACTTGGTATATTTAAGGATGGTAAACGAAAGTTAAACAAGTATAAGGTTCAGGTGAAACCGCTACCTACAAAAATACATGACTTTTCGCTTTCCTAGAATTTATGGTTATACAAAAGATGTGCGTGATTTTTACTGAGTTTCAGAAGCTTTCGACCTAAAGTGATATGTACACCACACATATGTAACAAACTTGATACAGATTTCAGAATTATCAAAAAATATTTACATATGTATTTTATAACAAGTAGTCGGTGTAATGCCCATTTTCATATTTATATTATATATTATATATACATTTGAATAACTGATATTAATTTTGAGCAATTTGGATTGCAGTATTACCGTAATATCATTATAAATGCATATGAGGCGAACGTGTTTGTTGCAGGATTTGGAAAAGCTTTAATTTTGTTATTTAATTTGCTTTTGCTGTGCTTTGATTCCTGCATGTCATGGCATCGAAAACAAAACAACAGCAAATCAAAAAAAAACTAGATACTTCCACCATCGATGGCGACACTATCGACAATTTCGTATTTATAGTGGGCAACGCTGCTTCATTCACCTCTGCGTTCGTCCACTTCGAGGCACGCAACCTTCAATTTGCTAACAGCGAGTTCCATTGTCGACTGTCGACAAAATATTCTCCGATTTTACACTTCTTTGATTTGCGATTATTTTACTTCGCCCGCGAGCAACAAAATGGACAAGTTTTTTTACGGCCTGGGGCAGATCCAGACAAAATTTCTCACGGTACTTAGGAAAATTATTATTTTTATTATTTTAAGTACATATCGTCACCTGAACTGCAAAAAGACGTAACAACATCGTAAATGAAATGACAAAAGTCGTGACTAATATTTTTTTCATAAAATGATGTCGGGAGTTGAAATTCAATGAAATCCATCATATAAATCAAAAAGTGAATTTCGAATTTTTTATTAGATATGACTTTTTGCATTTCAACGATGATGTTTAATAATGACGATGTTTTAAATAATAATAAAAATATTTTTATTGAAATGTGTAAAATTATGACCTACCAAATCAGGGATGGTCCATCTTTTGGTAGTATTATCGGCATGGGATATATGTACATGTCTTTACCAGGGATTAGAATTCTGGGAATAAAGGTGTCTATGTTGTTTTGGCACGACTACTAACACCAAGCGCCTAAATGCATGATATGTACTGCTGCATGAGCAAAACTTTCCTTCATTAAATTTATGAAATTTTTGCCTATGTATTTCTCAACAATATGTGATAAAGCATCTTTAAGTTATAATTTGATGGCAGTTCAAACCATACTCGGCCTAGTAGGACGCATGCTGCGGACAATGCTTCCGGAGCCTTTTAAGCCCTATATGCAGCTCTCAAGAAAACGGTCAAGAAAAAATTGCCATTATTTCGCGTGTGTGTCCAAGGAATTTTGACATTTTGGATACTTCATAGCCTGTTGCTTCACTCTTTCCTCAAGAAATAATGGAACGGGCATATATTTCTGTTGCAAACCTGGGTTGCCTTGTGCTCTTTTTTCACAAAAAACTTTAGAAAACCGTAGTAGAAAGCGTAGTAAATTTCTTAAGAACTGCGTACTGCCTTAAGGAAATTTGACTCAAGAAAATTTCTTAGCCATTTCTTGTACGTTATTTTATATGGAGTTTTTGCTTTTCTTGAGAGCTGCATACAGGCCTTTACGGACTCTGGCCACTTTACCAGTACCTACCCATTTTTTTTGTTCGAATAATAATTTGTTTATATGTATACATGCAAACATAGTGGTCTCCCCTCTCACTGAGTTAGTCATATGTCACTTTTGTTCCAAAAGTTTTTATCGGAAGATCCTTTTTCCAATGAAAGTGAGTACAAATTGTAATCAGTAGAGTGAAAAAACATTAAGAATAAAAGAAATATCTATTTAAAGACTATCGAGTGTGTCGAAGAGTGTGTCGAAGAAAACATAAATTATCTTAATAATGCACCTCTCTTTCGAAATTTTAGAAATGATGCTGGGAAGGGGTGTTAGGGACTTTTCTGGAAGAAGTTAATTATAAAATATAAAAATATTTGAATTGAATACGTTATGATATGTGGATGAATTAGCTTAACCCTCGCTTCAGCGAAGAATTTTGAGTTGGTCGTTACACTGTTAGTCACCCCGGTGACTATATGAATATTACATGCACTGTGCATACACGGTATATTTGAATTTTCGAAAACGAAACTTAAATGGTAGTAGGCGACGGATACTTTATTTAAACGAGGTTTTGTTGTTGTTGTGTATTGTAATATTCGAAAAGGACTTTCCGGCAGAATTTAATGTAGTGGAAGATGATCGTAAATTCAACTCTAACACCGTGCGACAGTAAATTGTACACACACAAAATTTTATATAGGTATGCACGAAACCATGGGCCAAATATAGCAAAACTGCGTGTTTAGTTTTTCTCTCTGATGTGAGGATTTTTTTAAGGACGTTAAAATTTTAAAAATATAATTATGTACTTAAAAAAATTAAAAGAAATTCAGTGCAATATATAGAAACGGTATGACTATCAAATTCAAGAGAAAATTCTGTAGAATTAAGGCCGATTAAATTTTTTGGTACATAAGGACGATTACGTACTGAAAATGTCATTTTAACATTTTATCAGTGAATATCCTTGAAATTTTACAATAATTATTTTCGAAAAAATTATATGTTAAGGACTATTAGGCACTCGACCACATCCTCGAATTTCGTCCTTCGAACTTTATTCACTTCAAAAAATAAAATAAAACTTATTACAAGGACATTTTCAATACCTATTCGTCTTTGCGAACCAATTCTTTTATAATTTTACAGAACTTTCTCTTTCATTTGGTACCCTTACTGTTTTTCTACATTTGAATGAATTTTTTAAATAAGTTTTGGAATTAGTCTATATAATATCTTTGAAACTACAAAGTCCTTTAAAAATAATCCTTACGTCAGAAAGAATAACTAAAAACGCAGTTTTACTATATTAGGCCCACAGTTTCGTGGGTATATTGATTGTTTCATGTGTTTCGATTTTATTTTTTGTTTTTGTCGCACTGTGTAATGAAACCGAATCGGAATTGGAAGAGCAGACAGGAGAAGGGGCCGTTCAGCACCCCACTTGGAATTCAACTGCCAACCATGTAGAGAAAAATGAGGTTCATATCTCAAAATATAAAACAATATAATCGGGAAAGCCATTGTCTAATGATACATATATATCCATATAATCCGTCCAAAAATTTCGAATAAAACAGGCGAAAAATATGCAGCAGAATATTATGATTACGATTACGATTATTACGTCCAATTACAATTAGCCAACGGGGTGACTAGTACATCATTTATTTCTTTTGTTGAAGCTAAAGACAAAAAATTCAGTTGAAAATTATCCTAAACGAAATCGTAGTAAATTAGGGTCATAGTCCTAAATTAATTAAAATATGGAAAGTTTTGAAAAAGAATCGCCGAAAAGCACACGTGTGACTAATAGCTGATCGAAGGGTTAAAGGGTCTTTAAATTCATGATTTGAGTTCTATGAACAATATTAGATGAGTAAGCAGGCATTTGCAAAAATTTGTAACCGGAGTGCACTGTAGTTATAATTCCTTTGGCAGAAATTCGCTCAGTTACAAAATTGTATCTTTTGAAAAAACTTCCCATAAACCTATTTGCCGTTCGGTGACTGCATTACGTTCTAGATTCCTCCATTTGAGTTCTAACATCAGTGCTACACACAAATTAGAGGGGAAACTCGGCCAAGCAGTTAACAGAAATTGTAAACGCAAAAATTTATTTTTCATATGAGACAGCTTAGCTGGCAAAAATTTCATTAATAATTTGAAAGCAAAAGCTAGAAAAAATTGGCAACAATAACTATTTCAAAAAAAATCTAACCAAAAAAAAAACACCGATAATTCAAAATAATAAATTTCTGTCCATCTAAATAGCACGTTTCTAGATAACATTGTTTCATATTAATTTTTCTTTTCTCGATTTCTCTTCCACACGCAACAACAATTACAACAACAAAAAATTATTTGGCCGCTTTCATGGTGGGTACATGGCAAATCTTTGACTCACTGGCACCGACTCTGCCTCTGGATGGTGGAATGGTGGAATGGACACATTGGCTTTGGCCTTCGATGTTATCTCCGTTCGTGACTCTTGACACTCTGCTTCGTTGGTATTCAACTGGCAAATACAGACCGGCTCATTAATCATTGAATCAGCGAAAAAACGTGATAATGGCAATTACACATGTAGCCCGTCAAATAGCCCCAGTGTGACTGTGATGCTCAACGTTATAAATGGTAAGTAGATAGAAGTATGTATGTACATATGTACACATGCATATACATAGTAATCGAGAAGAAAAACTAAATGCAAAAGTGAAAAAGTTAAACAAACAGTGTTAAAGGTTTATATGTGCGAGTAAATGTGTGCAAATGATTTTCGGTGACTATCAGCTCTTCCACACGCTTTGGTGCTGGCGTTCGTCCTTTTATTTCCATAGTTTCCCTATTTTGTTTCGAGATATTTTTCCTATCAAATACTTGGAGAATGCTGACATTTTCTGGTATCCACTTGGGTTTGGAGCGTNGCTTTGGTGCTGGCGTTCGTCCTTTTATTTCCATAGTTTCCCTATTTTGTTTCGAGATATTTTTCCTATCAAATACTTGGAGAATGCTGACATTTTCTGGTATCCACTTGGGTTTGGAGCGTGAGCTAGCACAATTTTCCATTAGTTTTTGACAAATTCAAGCAATCATTTTGACTTCGTGCACGCTTATGCTCCGCGGTCACTTGAATTCCCATGGGGTTGGCTGCTTCTACGATTGCTGAGAAGAATAATGAAATCACACAGCGATTTGAGTTGGCACGCATCTTTCACGCAAAGAGAAGTGTTTACCCCTAGTTTGCGTTTACTACTGCTTTTTGTTGTGGCCTTGTGTAGTTTACTTAGTCAAACGGACGGAACTCCAAATCAGACGTAAAAGATATGTAAAAGAAATGCCTCATTGATTTTTGAATAGTATAATTGTGTTTTAGTATAATTTGATTATTTTTTTCAATTTTGCATACAGCACAAAATTCCTTGGACTTGCCAGTGATTTTTAAGACTTAAAACAAGTTATAAAAGTTTTTGAGCGGAAGCATATTTTACGGCTCTCCGATGGATTGAATATATATTTGTACTTTATGGTGTTTTCGTTTCCACCGAAAAATTTCGTTCGTGCCTTGAAATGTCACACAAAAAAGGCATATTCTCTGTCCTTAGAAGCACTGTTAGGGGAGATGGCTGCCCTGAAATACAGATGGTTGCTTAAACCGACAATATTATGAAATCCGTGAGCCAGACAAGGACAAGAAGGAAAAACATACACCGCGGAAGGGCAACATTTTTTGGAAGAAACGAATTCGCGGCTGAGTTCCAAGTTGGTATATTGCAAAGCATCAGCCTATTACATTTCTAAACCGAGCCTCTCCTCCGACTTGTGCCGTGCGCCTTGATGTTGTCACACAAAGCGGAGGGACCACAGTTTTACGCCGACTACGAATGGCGATTATATTTTTACGAGAAGCTGTTTTGCATGGCAGAAATACACTCGGAGATTTGCCATTGCCTGCCGAGGGACGACCGCTGTTAAGAAAAAACCTTTTTTCTATATTTTTTGCGATGTTGCTTTGACCAGGGTTTGAACCCAGGTACTGATGAGTGAAAGCGCGCACTGCTTACCACTACACCACAGCGGCCGATTTCGAAATAAAGCAATATATCGAGCTTATATTTCTTAAATTTAGCGCGTGGAATTTGGGAATCTAAGAAGTTGCAAAGAAAGGTTTGCCTAGAATCCTAATTATGCTCCTACTAAATTCTTACAGTTGCACAGGAGATGGTATACCATTTCCTCTGCATCTGAATAGTTCCAGCTATGACAACAAGGGTTGCCTTCCAGTACTAGTATTGCTGCATCAGTACCTAGGGCCCAGTGTCCTGTAAAAAGTGCTACAGAATTGCAGGTCCTTTACCTGCGGTTCGAACCTCTGCTGCAACTGGGATAGCATTGATAGATAATGCTAGAGTTTATGTTTATACATCCAAGTGCCTTAATTATCAACATAGCAATGCTTTACCCGGTTCGCCCTAAGCTTTAACCCTTAAATACCGACGTGTGATCTGGCATACACTTTGAGAGTTTTACATGTGTTAGCGAAGACGTCTCTGTATCGGCGCGTGCGATTTCGGCAAGTTTTGATTTTGATAGATCGCGAGTGATCTGTCAGAAGGAAGACCTCTTGGCATTTTAATGGCCTTTGTATACTTCAAACTTATTGTTCAAGGGTTTCCCTATCTATTTCCGAAGATTTGTAAGTTCATTATTCCTCTACGAAGTTCGAGCTTGCCATACCTTAACGGACCATATTTCATAAAGGCTTTTCCGACGGGCTTATTTATTCTGTAAAATTCTTTGAAAAGCACTTTTTGGAAAATTACACAATTTAGAGCGTATGCGTGTTAAGGCGCATTTGGAAGATGTTGTTCATGGTTTCTCCAGATATATACATGTATATGTACGTGTTTATGTATGTACATATGTCGATAATATATGAAAGCTTTTATTAATTTTCCCGAGCAAACAATGCCTATAGAAAGTCGTTCACTTCTTTTTGCGTTCGACTTCCTGCTACCAATTTTACCCAGCTGTACAATCACTTTAATTGAATCCCTCGTCAATCCAGATGCGCAGCGCATCCGCCTGTGTACATTTGCATTTGTTTGTGATATCCTTTTATGCTTTGCTTCATTATTTTTATTATTATTATGCTTCTTTGCGCATCACTATGTCGTCGTATTGTTAATTTTGTGATAATATTCGCGCAATTTATTTCCACACTTTCGTCGTTGTAGCGCTACACCCCCGCCGGCATGCTGTTACTGCCTGGAGTTGAAAAAAAAAAAAACTCACATCACAGTAATGGCAATTTGGCGCGTGCTGTACGAGCGCAATGAAGGATACGACAACATGTCCTGAGGTTATGCTACCGCTAATACCTTCTGCCATGCCACTAAAGCGACTACATAAATAGTTATTTCTGCTGCTACGAATCAGTAAAGATTTAGTTGGTATGTATTTAGTAGAACAGTCTCTTGAAGGACTTTAGATGGCTGTTGCCTTTACGTTCACGCTTTTACTACATACTTACATACATACGTTGTTGTATAGCGAGCTGCTGTACTGCTAAGGATAAAATGCACAAACATTTGCGCTTGAATTAGGAATTTGTTTGCATCAAGAACATTAATGATTAATTCTTCGTATTCATTACACCATAGCGGAAGCTAGCTAAGGCGCTGGTAATGGCAATGGCTTTAAGCAATCTCACTCATATATGTACCCACGTAAAATTAGTTACTGCATTCGCTATACTTATATGTACATACATACTTTATTAAAAGTAGTTTTTAGAAGGAATTATCAAAGTCTTTACTCGTACACATAAAACCATAGACAAGCGACTGTACTGTACGTCGTCGACGAGCTCGAATGCTTCAGGCTGAGGAAAATATTTACACTTGATGAAAGAAAGCAAACATAAGAAGCTAGATTAAGCCCATTATATAGAATAAGGCGAAAATGCCGTAAATGTCGGGGATGTTGAATACACATACAATATTTGTAGAATGTATATGTATGTACATATGAATGTACCCAGTGGGAAAGGAAGTAATGCATTACACGCGTGATAAATAATGTAAAGCATTCCTTATGGGTTTTAGATTCTATTACTGATTATTGTGTATTCAGCGTACTACTGTATCAAAAAAGTCCCAAAAATTCATATCAAATCGCATACATTTTTTGATTACTTTGTAACACAAAAAAGGACATTGCCTTGGGAAAAGTGCATTTTCGAATGTGAAAACGGCTGATTTACTGACTATTTTTTTCGATTAAGATACATAACATTTCCCCACTGGGTATCGATACTTCTGATGTCTTGAAGCGACAGCTCATGCAGAGTAACATATTTAGTTGGTGTTTGTGTTGTGAATCGCTTGAACACTTCCGTATCTGAGTGGTCTCTTAGGCTAATGAAAAGTCTTGATACAAAGTTAATAGTAATATGTATTTAGGTTTGTTTACTGTTGAATTAATTAATTTAATAACCGTTTCCCAAATAAACTTTTACAGAAAAAAAAAATCGGAAGGTGAAGATATTTAAAGCTAATCGAAGTAATTTTTTTCATAAGTAAGAACGTAATTACCTTATCTAAATACATGGCTAAAATGTCTAAAGAGTTTATATCTTCTGTCGAATAGACTGTTGTGATGCTACATGAATTAAATAAGGTCAAAGCGATCTGCTTTGCCAAAGGCTTCATAACTCTCATGAATATTAGAAAATTTAGCTTTAAAATTTTATTAAATTGCAAACTATTTTTGTGGCAATCTTTAATTGATTTTGATGAATGGGACTACTATTTCTACTTCTTGGTCCATTTATTTTATTAATTTTCTACTTTTAAATCTTATCCTAAAAAAATTAACAATGAATCTAAAAATAATGCAACGATATTCTGATATGCATTGTATTTTATGAAATGGACTTTTCATTTATTTTCTTTTTCAACATATGTATGTACATGTTCATCAAGGTGTCCAGATTGTTTAAAAAAAGCGCAATTTCTGAAAAAAATCGCCAAAAGACGCCAATTTTTTTTCTAATAAAATTAATGAAATCGATTTAACAAATCTTTTATTTAAAAAATGCGATCTTGCTATAATATAGTTTTTAAAACCAACCCCGAATATTATACCTTCAGAGGGTAAGAATAAATAACACAAATCACTTATATAATAGTGATGTACAATAAATTTTCTTTAAAAATACGTATACTTTTAATATATATTTTTTTCAACACATTTTGCAATAGTACTGCACAATTATTGAACTTATTATAACTAATATTGAATGATTAATCGCACAATCCACTTTTAAGAGCTTGGCGCTAAAAATAAAATGAAAACCTATAATAAGGCTAGATCGGTTATTTCCACTATTTCTTCAAAATCACCTATAGTAGTGTCTGAATCATTTGCATTTCTGTTGTTGTCATATATTGAGCTATTCAAGCTTGATAACATATTGTTTGATATCGGATAAATTTTGCAGCAGAAACTATTAGCCTTCATATAACATTTTATTCGAACTATTGAATTAAGGCTTTCCAACTTCATCCTATTTCGAATCTTAGGTTTTGTTGAATTCATTACGGAAAAAACGCGCTCAACAAAAGCCTTTGAGT